GTAAAACAGCAATTATGCTCAGTCAAGCTTGATTTTTTGTAATCTTTTCCTGTTAAATCAATAAATCAAATCAAAATCAAATCAAGGGCAGCCCCAATGCTGCTTGCAGTTTTAATTTACTTTTTAAGTACTGACATAAGTGATGTTTCGGAACTGGTACCATTTTGAAAGTATCGATTTAGCACTGGTATCGAATTAAACCCTTTCAATACTCAATCCTAGCTATGACCAGCTGCTCAAAGCACTTTGTGATGATGGGGGTGAGGGCTACTGGGCGGTAGTCATTGAGTCTTGATGGATTGGAGTTTTTGGGTATTGGGACAATGGAGGTGGTTTTGATGCAGGTCGGAACCACAGCACTGTCAAGGACAGGTTGAAAATGTGTGCCAGCACTCCTGCCAGCTCATCAGAACATGCTCTGAGAACACATCTAGACATGTCATCAGGACCCACAGTTTTGTGGACTTTAATTCTGCTTAGCGCTGCTTCTACATCGGAGGGGAAAAGAGTCAGTTGTTGGGGGTCTGGAGACACATCTGCTTTGGTTGCAGTTGTTTGGTTCCCTCTCTCAAAATGAGCATTGACATTGTTGAGCTCGTTGAAGAAGGAAACATCAGAGGAGGCAGGAGAGGGGATGATGTTCCTGTAATCTGTGATGATCTGGAGTTCTTGCCATATATATTGGGGGCTGGAGTTGGAGAAGTGTTCTTCTATCTTCCCCTTGTAGAGGTGTTTGGCCTTTGTGATGCCCCTCTTCAGCTCAGCCCTGGGTGTACTGTAGGCCTGTGCATCCCCTCACCTGAAGGCCATGTTGCAGACTTTCAGCAGGAGATGGACATCCCGATTCATCCAAAGGTTGGGGTACATGATGATCTCAGTTTCTGTTTAGTGACATTGTCTATAGTGGTGGAGATGTGGTCTAGTAGAGATGAGGCATACTGTTCCAAGTCTGTGTGAGTGGACATCTTCCAGTCAGTGGTTTTGAACCAGTCCTGGAGAACAGTTTCTGTCCCGTCTGGCCACACTTGAGCCCATTCTCCACGAGCATGGTTCTACTCTTTTCAGTTCGGGTTGGGTCGGTTCTGCTCAGTGTGTGTCTCCATTACACTGTGGGCATGATTATGGGCAGACCGTCCGCAGCGACTTCAACTGTTGTGTTACAAAAAAAAGCTGTTGTAGTCCTACTGTTCAGGTTTAACTTTCTATTTTTTGTTTATTGTTGCGGTGCTGTTTATAAGCGCTCATCAGACTTTGATGGATTAAGTTTTAGTTCTGGATCTGTCTGCAGAGAAACCTTTGTGTTGTTCCCAGTCAGAGTTTAGATTTCTGGTTGAACTAAAGGAAGCAGCAGCAAAAGAAGGATTAAAGTTGTTTCATCATCTCTAGGGTAGGTAACCTCTGGTAAACCTGTTCCTGGTCTGGGTTTGGACCCACCCTGTCTGATCTGGACTGGTCTGATCCCAGGAGAGGCGGTTCTTMGTTTCAGTCAGTGTTTGAGGGAATAAAAGCCAGAGAGCAGCAAGTGGCAGCAGTAGTTTGATCTGAACAGTGAGTATGATAGTTCAGGATCAGACTATAAATCTGAGTTCTTTCAATCATTGAAATAGAATCAAATTTTATTGAAAAATGTCAAATTCAACATCTTCAACTCTGACTTATTTTATTCTTGAAGCTTTCCTGGATGTTGGCCCACACCTGAAGTACCTGTGTTTTGTGGTGATTGCATTGTTGTATGTTGTTATTGTGTTGTTGAACGTGTTCCTGGTCCTGGTTATCTGCATGAACAGGAGTTTACATGAACCTATGTACATGTTTCTGTGCAGCCTGTTTGTAAATGAACTGTATGGTAGTACAGGCTTGTTTCCATTCCTGCTGATCCAGATTCTGTCAGACGTTCACACTGTTTCTGCTCCGCTCTGTTTCCTGCANAACCTCAGATTAGCAGCTTAACCCTGCTTTCTACTGAAGTGGCAGAAAAAAGAAGTTTGTCTTTTGTTCCTTTAATACGGCTGGTTCCCCCTGAAMGTGACAGTCCTTTTAGAGCCCACCCAAGGACCAGTATTATTATATACATACATATTTTGTTGCTTGGTTTTTGGTTGGTTTATCCATATTTTGCAGGTGTGCAGARGGATGTCGGGTGTTTTCTTGATTCATATTTTCTAATCCCTCATTTAATCTTTCTGATTACACTTCTCTTTTTTCTCTTTTCCACTTAAAAAAGTCACTGATGACAAATAAATTAAGAAAATAATATTCTTACCCTCTCAGGATGACAGGGTGAAGGGGCATCAGAGACCCTCTCAGAAGGAGCTCTTGAAAACCCAGAAAGGAGGGTCTTCAAAGGACAAGAGGTAGGGGCATCAGAGACCCTCTCAAAATGACACGAGGGAGGGGCGCCCAATGAGGGACCACAGAAGGCAGAGGCGTCGGAGACCATCTAAGAAGCACAGTAGGGAGGGTGGTCGGAGACCCTCTCGGAAGAACAGGAGTGGGGGTGTCGGAGACCCTCTCAGAAAGACAGAGAGGAGCTTCAGTGACCCRCTCTGGGTAGGACAGGTGAGAGGGGCGTCAACGGACCTCTTGGGAAGACAGAATGGAAGGGCATCAAAGGACATGAGAGAGGGGTGTCAGAGACCCTCTCAGAAGGTTTGGAGGGACGGGTGTCAGAGTTCCTCTTGGACAAACATAGAGAGGGCTGTCAGAGACCCTCACAGAAGGACAGAACGGGGCTTTGGAGACCCTCTTGGGAGGGTCATCAGAGACCCTCTTAGAAAGACAGGAGAGAGGAGCTTCAGGGACCCTCTTGGGAGAACAGGAGGGAGGGGCGTCTGAGACCCCCTTGGAATGATAGAAGTGAGGGCCATAGAAGACCCTTTGGGAGGACAGGAGAGAGGGGCATCAGAGACCCTAACGGACAGGAGGGCAGGGCTTTATTTATCAAACGAAAAGGCAGACTAAGCAAATAACAAAACAAAGTCAACAACAGGAAGACATCGAGGGCAAACAAACCAATGGATGGATGAGGATGTGCTGACTAAAGACCAGTTAAGTAGACCAGGGTTGTGTGGAAAATGGGAACAGATGTGTGATTACAGAGTGCAGACAGGTGTGAGGCAGAGAGACTGATCAGAAGACTGAGCTGACAGGAAAAGATGAGGAGAGCACACAGAGGACAAATATCACATTACAAATTTAAATCTGACCAAACTCGTCATGAAACCCGTTGTTGACGTACTCTAAAAACATGAAGTGTTGAGTTTTCTGTAACAAACAGGTTTCACTCAACTGAGTTGAGTTATTGAAAAACAAATGACACATTTTATGATTTTTTCTTTAAAAGAAAATGTGTCATTTGT